AATTTACAGAACCAAGAATATCTGGATGCTTCTACTTAGTTTTTAGTCCTGGGTATCACCTAACAAAAAGCCTGAAAGTTGGTGTGAGGTTTAACTTGCTAAGAAGTAATATGTATGTGTTGAGAAAATACAGGCACTGGGCAGGTATGGTGGGGTATGCCTGTAAGCCCAGTGGTTCAGGAGGTTGAGGCAGGAATATCAGGAATTAGAGGCCAGCCTGGGCAACTTAGTGAGACCCTGTCTTGAAACAAAATTAAAAAGGGAGGCTGGGGATATAACTCAGTAGAATGCTCCTTGGTTCAATCACCAGCACCACACAAAATGAAACAAAATAAACAAAACTCCTTGAAATACAGAAATTAGCCACAGAAAGTCAAGGCTGATGGTTAGGTTCCTGTCAGAGGAAAAAACGTAGATTCATGCTGTGACTAACACTCCTCTAGAAGAAACACTCATTGTGCATTTTCTCATTATATTTCCTTTCCCTCCCTATAAAAGCCCTTTGCTCCCCTGAGCACCCCAAGATAGAATTTTAAGATCTACACCACCTCCAACTTCTGATGACGGTGGATCTTGAATGAGCCTGATTTCTTCCTACCAACTTTCACCTCCTGAATATTGGATTTTGAATGTAGAACAGACTGGATCATTAGTCTCTATCAAATTCTTTTGAAAAATAACAATTCTTCTCTAAAGTTTTATCTCCATTTCACCAACCCTCATTTCCACCTATAACCTCCCTTTGGAGTTCATCAACAGCTGTTCATTCTCTAATGCTTCATAGGGGAGTGTTCCCCCAGTTGACATAGTATCTCTTCCCATCAAATATTTAGGTAAAGGAGACAGAGCTTCTTTACGGAAAACCTGTTCAAACATGTCAGCTCTTCTATGTTTATATTTTATGTTTTAGTCCCAGGAATTTATCTTCTCCGACCCCAGACCATTTTGCTCTTTCTTATACAAAAGATTTTTGGTACCCAGCACGTGTTTGGCTATAGAATCCCAGCCATCTGGGCAATCTTTGTGTTGATTTCTCTGAGAAATTCCAGATTAGCTTTCTCATTGGAATATTGGCATTATGATGTTGAAAATTTCTCCCAACTGGGTTACATGCAGCAAACTTGTTAGCAGCCCTTCCTTGTTGAGTTACCAGTAGAGGGACTCAGTCATCCACATTTGAATTGTGATGTATTTGTGGACAGCAGGCTGTGCCCAGCTCTGAGTTACTCCATGATGTATAGAACAGTACCTTTCAAACTGTGCCTAACTGTGTTTTCAAACTGTGTTTTCAGTAAAATGCCAAGGTAAAAAGAACCTATTTGTACAAACAAAAACCATGATCTGCTTAGCACAGATACAAGGAACACATTGATTAATTATTTAGCAAATTAAATCAGGAACACCTGGACACTTGGGCATATCAAATCATATCAGAAACACCAGACATAGCAAAGAGCCTTGGCAAGGAATATTGTCACAGTGATGAGCTTGCTCATCCTGACCCTTGCTCCTCAGCTCAACTCTGCAGAACTGATTACTTAAAATCTTTATCTGACTATGTACATTTATTCTCTGCATTCACATCTGCTCTCGACCTTCTCTCCTCCTGCCTCAGACTCCAGAGTTCCTGGAATTGTAAACATGTACCACCGTACCCTTCTGACTCTCCATTTATAGTCCCTTGCTGTTATGGTTTGAATGGTGGGTGTCTCCCCAAAAGTTCCTGTTAGTGGGGAATATTCAGAGATAAAATGATTTGTTTATGAGAGCTATAACGTAATCTGTCTATCCTTGTTTGAATGGATGGAATAGGTGCTAACTATAGGCAGTTGGTAGGTGGCTAGAAGAGGTGGGTCACTGGCATATGCACTGGAGGGGCATATCTGTCCTGAGGCTCCTTCTCTCTCTTTCTCTTTGCTTGCTGATACCACCGTGACTATGCAGCTTTTCCTCTGCTGGGCCCTTTCCCCATGATGTGCTCTTGGGCCCAGAGCAATAAGGTGACCAACTATGGACTGAGAAGTCTGAAACTGTGTACCCCAAATAGAAGTTTCCTCCTTTAAGATGTTCTTGTCAGGTTCATTATTTTACACTGATGCAAAAACAAATTAAAACAATAGCTTTTACCCCTACCAATGTTTTTCATACGAGTAAAATATTCTGAGATGTCCTAAATTTAGTACGAGGACAGAGAATTGAGAAGATGAAAAATATTATATAGATAATATTAGGACCAAACAAACTAGAAATTGCTCCATAAACCTAAGCATATGTTGAAGCCCTTAACTCAAAAGGGCAGGAGGATGACTATCAAGGGGTCATTGGGAGCTGCTTTGCAGCCAGAACACTCGAGAAGCAAGTACTTCTTAAGATTATTCTCCTATTCAAAAAGTTCCCCTCAGCATTTTCCTGCTCACCTATGGCCAGTAGAGGTCACAGCACTTTCCTTCCCCCAAATTCATACAAAGCTCTTAGCTCTGGTGTGGCGGACATTTCCATTCTGTAGTTTTTTGATGTTGGTAGCTAAGGGACCTGCCCAGGACCTGTTCCTTCTTCTCCTGACTAGCATTTGTATGGAATGGCTCTATAAGCCCCTTTATGCACGCATGCCTGGGCCTCAAGAGTTTTGCTTTAACACTTTCTACATCCATCTTAATTCTCAAAAACCTTTTGAAAAATGTCCATCTTCCCTAGGTTAAATCCTGTAATTCTACCTTCATTTTCACCACTTTCCTCTTAATTAGCCTATTGTTTATGTTGGCATCTGTAAGAACATATAAGGCAAAGCTGAGACACCCAACTTGAAATGTTTTCTCAGAGGTACAGTTGCACAGGGTGCCCAAGAAGAAGGGTCCCCATTAACCAGAGCATCTACCATGACATGGGGGACGCGCTTGACAGACAGGTGAATATCCCAGTCGTATTGAATCTAGCTCCACACACGTGCATAGGAGGCATTAAAGCTGCTTCACATGGGCTGCTCCAGTCAGCATTTGTGGGGATGTGGCAAGTCCGGTTCTCAGCATGAAAGCCATTGTACAGTGGCTTTGTATAGTTCCCTTGACCAGCTGTTCCCTTGGGATAACCTAGTGTGGGTCTCCATCAGGAAAAGCCATCTGAGATGGTTCCATCTGGAGCTGTGTATCCTGCATCCACCCAAACAGTCTCTTCCACTCTGTAGCACTTAAAACAAACACACTGCTCCTAAGGGTGTTACTCTCACCATCCATTTGAAGAAAGTAGATGAAACTTTCTTCAAACCAAACCCTCTGATTTCCATAGAATGTTGGTACTGTCCTTCCTCACATGGGTGGCCAGCTGGTGCCCAAGTCCTAGAGGTGCTCTCTGTTATTCCAGCAGCTTTTCCCAGGAGGTCACTGAGGCTGGTGGTCTGAGTTCAGGCAGACTGAATGCTGAGCTTGGTCTAACCTCAGTCAGACTCAGGCTCTCTTCCATTTTCACTTTAGGCATCCTGGCTAACAATGGCCAAGGGACTGGAAATGTTACTGTTTCCTGACTAAATGCATGTCCATGTACAGCCAAGGGAGAAACTCCCCAGGTGTTATTTCCATCTCCAAATTCCAGGGTAACTTTTATCCTCAATAAATGGTTGCAAACACAGCTGCTCCTTCAGACCATGGGTGGCCAAGTGGCAACTCAGGGACAAAAGTATCCCCATCCCTCACTGTTTTGTCATTGGCCTTCCCACATAATAAATTTTTGTTATCCAGAGCCATGCTAGCAAATTCTACTTCACTCACCAAAAATGCCCATTCACCCTTTTGAAGCCAGTTGGAAGTCTCAGGTTGACAGACCTGGGCCTTCTGATCAACTAGCTTAGAAGGGATCTGGTTCATTTGTTTAAGTTAATCAAAAATCCCAGGGAAACATCTGTATTTTCTGGTGGAAGAGGATGGGAAATTTCCTATCTGATTTCTGAAGCTTCCCTGGAATAAAGTAACAAAGATGAATCATAAAGGCATAAAAAATTCATGTATTTTAGAGGAGTGAGATTTCCCACTATTCCAATATCATTCAAAAATTGATAAACCCCCTTTTTCTACAAGAGAGGTGCAAAATGGGGAATGTAGACAATTTTGGGGTAGCTAGTTGATAATTTTCAGGGAAATTCTATGTGCTTGGGGCAAAGTGTACTTGGCCCCTAGTATGAACAATGACTTGTAAATCATTCTCTATGGGATTAAATAGAGGACTAGGGTATAAACACGTCTGGGCAGATGTGTTGACAGACTTGAGTCTTCCTGTGATATGAGTCTAGTTAATTAAATTTCAGTGAAGGAACAAGAGGGAATCTTTTCCTTCCTGGGGTTCCAGACTTGAAGCAGCAAGGAGAAATCAGGGGCAGCGTGTTCTGGCACTTTCTGCTTTTATGTCTCAATTTGTATAGAGAGCCAGCATTTTGAGGTGTTTGTTTTTAGGGTGAGAATCCCCCAAATCCTTCACCAGTTTACTCTGTAGGATGTTTACAACAATGGAGACAGATGAAGAGACTAATAGGGCAAAGCATTTGGGAGGGACACAGCCACCCTCTCAGAACCTCCTGGGTTTATCCATCATGAAGCTGTCTGAACCTTGGCCTTTTGCTGTATTAAGGGGACTTCACTGCATAGCTATGATTGGTATTTGGAAAATCGTGTGTCCATATGATGAACAGAAAAGGATTGGCCCATGCTGAAAGAATGAGGAAGAAACTCAGCCAGATCTGTCTGTGGAGATTCTCCAGTATTTCTTCCTTGAGGGTATAGGACAGGATCCTGGTAGAATGAAGAGGATTTTTATGACCCACTATACTTTGCCTTAGAGCGGGATATGAGTCAAACACTGTGGTCCCCAACCACCATAATAAAACATATCATTATATAATAACACTTTTGATTTCTTCCATCTATCATGGTGAAAATCCCACGTTCACATCTGCTCTCCACCCACCATTCCTCGCAACATGAAGAGTAGTTGAGAAAAACATGGAAAGTTCTAACCTGTTGTAGTGTAAAGGACAGCTGAAAGGGCGACTGTGCTGGTCTCCTCATTCTCCAAGGCAGGACTGGGGCCTTATATGCTGTACCTTCTGCCTGAGTCTAACAACCTTGGACTCTTGTGGCATGCTCATTGCGTGGCTTCTCTTTGACAAATCTGTTAATATTACAACACGAGTGTTTATTTGCCAAAATCTTTGTCTTCATTCCTTATCAATGTGTGGGTTTGTGTGTGTGTGTGTGGGGGGATCTTCAGAGATAGGTGACTGAGAATGATGGAACCATCTCAAATCTAATCTATAAAATGAATTTCTGCCAGGCACAGTGGTGCACATCTATAATTCCAGCTCCTCAGGAGTACTAGACAGGGGCATGGAGAGTTTGAGGTCAACCTGGACAACATGGTGAGATGCTATCTTAAAAAAGAAAAATATTATGTCTTCCTGAATCACTTGAAAGTATTTCTTTACTTACTCATCCTCAAAAATGTAAACGAATGATTACCAATTGTACTGAAGGGAACTAATCAACTAGATTGGATTTTGTTGAAGTCTCTGTCCACCATTGAAACTTGCATGAGCAATTCCTCAGGAAGAAGTGATGAAGACACAGACAAGAGGAAGTAAGAAAAACATTTTAATTTGTTTTAATAATCACTGCCGGGTCCTTCTTTGTGTGTCCACAAGCCCTTTCCTTGTCCAGCAGGGTCATGATATCATGAACCTGAGTGACTGCTGTGCAGTTGTACTGTTCTCTGGAGTAGGGTGAAGGATTTGATTAGAAATATAAGAAAAAAGGGAAATTAAGACAAACTAGCAGAAATAGATGGAACAGAACTCAATGGGTAAATCAGCCCAGAGGGGGTCTGATCTCTAACAATGAGCATTTATTTTTTAGGTTTTAAACATCAAAGCGATTCACTATGAAAAGCTCTTCTTTGAGGTAAACAGGATGAAGTTTGTGAGCAAAACAGCATAGTTGGGGCTTATGAGTTCTTGCCCATCTCGTCTATCTCTGTGCAGCTAGGATTCAAATTCAAAGCTTTGAACTAGTAAATCCATGAAGAGCATGGAATTCTCCCTATCAACAGGAGTCAACCTCCAAATGAGCATTTCTCTTGGCACTTTCACACCTAAAGGTTCCCTAAAGTGGTGTTTCACTGCCCAGGCTTACAGAGTTCAAAGCAAAGATTTATTCGCTGCTCCAACATCATGAGAAGGCTGGGCCATCTCTGGAAGGAGGGAGATCCTGCTCAAGCCTCACTGTTGTGGCTTGATGCATCAACCAGACCAGCTCCTGGTTGCACAGGCAATTCACCAAAACACTGGGTTTTATGAAGAGTTTTCAGAGCTATACTTGAAAAGTTTCCCAGCCTGCATGTGCAGGTGGAGCCTCTAACCAGGAACCGGTGAGAGGAACTGCAGTGTGTTCAATGACAGATTTCTTTGGGAGTATTAGTTAAGGCTAGAGATATTCTCAACTTTAGAGTGTTTTTTGAGCATTTACTTATAAAACCTGAATATCGAGTGCTAGATTGGAGGTCAAGTATCTATAAATTTTATTCAAGCTATGCCAGCAATTTTAGTGGCAATAATTGTAAAGAAGCCTGTAGTGCTAGTTAGGCATCTCCTTTCTTTGGGATGACAGGAGGTAGAAGCCATCAGCCTCAAGTCCTCTTCTGTGTCCAGAGGAATAGAGGCAAAGTCATTGTAAGACTCCAGCCTTTGCTGTCAATGGCTCCTAGAGACCACTTCCACACACCTTCCCCAACTGGAAAGACAAAGGTCAGGGTCAGGCCAAGTGCCTTTCTTAACACTTCACCACATAAGACAGGAAGGTGCATAGAAGGATGCCAAAGTCCAGTCTCTGCTCTATTGCACACATTTTTTGTAAACTTTAGAAATAGTTCAAATGTTTAAACTCAATATAGTTGTTAGGAAAATTTACATTTGACACTTTCCCACCAGGACTTGAGCAGTACATCATCCACTTGGACACTCTACCTGGTACCACTGAGGTCAGCGTTACCTAGTGCTGGGGTCAGTCTGCACCTGTGCTCCCTAAAGAATCCCAGTTAATCCTGCTTAGTTGACATCAAGCTTCTGCACTCCCCTTGTCTCTCCTCAGGTGCCACCTGCACACTCAGCCTCCGCTCTGCACTAGCTCTCAGGCTGTTTCCTCAAGGTGCGCTCCTTGGTCTCTTCCCCAAATCCCACCTGCTCTCTGGTGGTCCTCCCAACACCTTAGGCTCAGCTTTCTCTCTGTGCTCATGTTTTCCCCTAGCACTTTAGCCAGTGGCGGAGCATCTGCCCCTGTTTTCCTTATTCCTTCCCACAGGCTGCAGTCCCCAGGAGCAGGTAGGGGAAGGGAGAGTGCAGGCTGGAGCTGCCTGCCATTGCCCTGTTGGCTTTTCCTCCTCTGTGTGCTGCATGTCATGCAGTGCATGCTGGTGTGTGTGCAGGAGCTCTGACTGCCTGTAAGAGGCAGTTCTGTGCCAGTCTGAGGTAGGAATGGAGGACCCTGTTGTCCCAAGCATTTGGAGGCCTTATGCTTATTGAGTGGAGGCCACCATCCAATCCAATATCCACTTCTCTTCCTCTGCTCACCCTTGTCTGCCTTTTGGTGACAATGCCTCCATTTGTGAAAATGCCTCAGTGTGTTCAATGACAGAAATCACTGGGCTAAAAGTGAGAGTGAAGGCCTTGTCCAGATCCCACCTCTCTGCTTTGCTTCCTGTGCTACTGACATAAACATGCTGAAGGCTGTACACCTCACAGAGCTGGGCAGTAACTGGCTTTTGTTTTTTTTTTTTCACATCTGAGGGTCCTGAGGGCATTCTCCTTACCACTTCCTGACCTTACCCCTGCTGGTGACCCTCTACCCTGATGCCTGCTGCAGACCTAAGGGTGTTGCCGGCAGTTCCCGAGGGATTCTTTTCCATTTCTCCTTCAGACCACAGTTTACAAGTATAGCTTTAGTGTGAGTGCCACTCCACAGAATTCATGATTTGCATATTCCCACACTTGTAACTTTCCCTGTCTCTGTCTCTCTGTAGCATTCTGAGACCTAAATACACAGTTTTACTTTCAATTCATTTTTCTTCACTTCTACTGAAAATGCTAAATGTATCCCCACCTCCCAACAAAACAGAGCAGAACAGAACAGAACAACAGAAACAAAGAAAGAACCCAATTATGGGCAATTAAGAGGTGCAGAGTTCCATTTATGAGGGTCTGTTGATGATACACACCAATTGCCATACCAGCACCTTCAGCACAGTGAAATCTTGTGAGCTGCCAGGTATGGTTGTGCATGTTTATAATCCCAGTGGCTCAGAAGCCTGAGGCAGGAGGATTGCAAGTTCAAAGCCAGACTCAGTAAATGCAAGGCACTAAATTACTTAGTGAGACCTCTGTCTAAATAAAATACAAAATAGGGCTGGGGATGTGGGTCAGTGGTAGAGGGCCCCTGAGTTCAACCCCAGCATCACCCCCATCTCCCCAAAAAGAGTTGTGAACAGAGGAATGATCTGATGTGATATTCTCTAGATATAAGGGATGGGGTCCTAGAAGCTCAGTGGCCATCAACTGCCACCCTCTCCAGTTCTGAACCAGAAAGAATCCTGTCTCCTGAAAGCAATGCCATCCGAGATTTCTCGTAAGTATAGACATGGGAGGAACCTTATGGCTCCAACTTTGCTTGAATGTGGGGGAATGGAGTCTCACTCTCAAGCCTCAAGCTCACTTACTAAAGAATTCCTCCCTGGTTTCCAGTTTGAGTACCTTGTCCAGAGCCTTAATCTCCTGCACTATTCTTACTGCACCAACAAATAGATGGTGCTCTGGCCTAGATAGCCTCCTGCTCCTGTCACCAGGCCACTCCAAGCAGTCAAGGCCAATGAAGGAATCGGAACCCAGCCAGTAGGAGGTGTGATGACAGGGTGACCCTGCAGAGGTCTAAAGAAAGAAGTCCATTGAGTGCAGTACACAGAAAGCCCTTGTGGATGATGTAAGGGAAAACCCACTCCAATTCATTTCTCCCGCTGTTCTCTCACCCCACACATCACTTCCGTGATCCCAAAATATGTGGGAATTTCTCTCCACCATGCAGGGAATCAATTATGTAGAGGTCACCAGCTGAGCAGCCTCTACTCCAAGCCAATTCTGACACTCTCTACCTGGAGATGGTGATAGACCTCACAGGGTGAAAGCCCTGTTCCCAAGACCATCCCCTTACTGCTTAGACAGCTGTTGTATGCCCAAAGTTGTTTGACCTGTACTTTTAAGCAATTGTTTTTAAGGGATTGTCTAAAATTTCTGGTTCTAGCAAGTTCCTCCTATTAAGGTTTATTAAAGTGATTGAGAAGCTCATAGAACTCAGAGAAATATTTGCTTGCATTAGGTGGTTATCATTAAGGAGATTGCAGAGAATACAGAAAAAGATGGACAGGGTGTGGTGTAGGAGAAAGTGCATGTAGTTTCCTGGTTCATGCTGCACATACCACATTCCAGGCATCTCCACGCCTACAGCTCTCTGAACCCTGTCCTTTTGGAGTTTCATGGAGACTTCGTTGTATAAACGTGGTTAAACATGGACCAATACTTCAAAGTGTGATTGCACAGAAAGAATGTGACCAAGAGCAAACTGGATGAGTAGCTAGTAAGGCCTATCTGTTTAGATTACTCAGCATTTCTTCCTGGAGGGTATGGGATAGGAACCTTTGGAATAAATAGATCCATGACCTCCTGTGTCCTGCATTGGGCATCAATAAGAGCCAGGAACTGTAAGCAAATCCCACAGTATATGTATCATAATATTAAGTCACATTTTGCTTTTTTGATCACAGAACACTATGTCAAACTGATATATAAGCCAAAAGAATCTTCCACATAGCTTGAATCTCACTGAATTGTTGACAATCAGTTCAGTCAATCATATTATATTCATATATGTCCAGGGAGAGGCTACTGAGGATTTCATTTGACTTGCATGTCCCCTCCGTATTCAGAAGTCAGAGAGCTCTCTGCAAACAAGGAGCTTCCTTTCTGGCATGTGGTGTAATTCAGCTGAGGGACATTGTCCTCTCCTGTTCTGTGCCTTGCTGCAGGTATAATAAAATATTTGAGTTTCCTGAATTTATAATCCTCTTACTCCTTCCTGGCTCTCAGTTTCCCCTCATCCTCTGCCTCATTAATCAACAAACATTTTTCACCTTTGGAAAGGACATTGAGTTTAGCCACTGTGCCTGTGTACACAGCAGGCAGCAATACTAGCCCAGCAAGTGCCTCTCCTAGTTCACTGGTTAGGATGGGGTTGGTTACATTGGTTTAGAACCAGTGGACCATGTTGACTACCAGGCTATAGACCTGTATTCACTGTTGCTCCCTCGTTAGCAGGATGGGGTGAAGCAGGACCAACCCCATTACACTCTTGGGAATTAGGTTATCAGGAATCGTCACTATCGCAGATGTGCAGTTGACGGTAGTCCTGAATTTGTGACCACGGTGTCAGGTATTGGTACACAAACTGAGAAAAAAAAATTGAGGTGAGGAAAAAAACTATTAATATAAATCCATATATATGTATATAAGTGTATATATACACACACAAACTTACACAAATAGATGCATATGTATATGGTTGTCATATCGGCATGCTCCTTTTTTGGCAGGAGTTGCACAGTCTTACCACCATCCTCTCCTCTGTCCCCACCAGTCCACCAGGACTACAGAGCACTATCACGGGGGGATGTTCTTTGAGCCTCACTATTTCTGAGTGTGAGCACGGACTTGAGAAGGGGTGGATGGCAGCCCTTCATTCCTTTATCTCCTCCACTTTAGACATCCAGTGTTTTATTTGCCCCTTTCATTCTCTAGAAAATTATTACTGAGGAGCGTCTCTCTCTGTCCATTGCTGGAAAGCATGGGCTATACAGAGAGTTCCTTGTTTTGCAGAACTAATATTTGTCTAAGCTTGTGCAACAGCTTCTGCTCTGGTCTGTAGCCTTCTGAGCATTTATTTGTCTGTGGCACTGAGTAAGCAAAGCCAGATACAGAGCCATTTCTAGTCCTATCATGGTGCATCTGTGGCTCCCAGGATTTCCAGAAACAGTCTCACTGGCCAGAATGTTCAGGATCTTCCCTCCATGGATTCTGTAGCCATCTGCTGCCTCTATACCTTTTGCAGGAAGACAGACAATTTTCTATGGTATCATGACCCTGAAAGGGTGGGAGAAAAACTTGTCTTGATTAAGCCCCATCTCGATTGCTATAGAACCATCATGCCAATTCATTTTGCAGACCTAGGTGACCATATTCATTGTCAAAATGGGGACATCACATTGTCAATTCCAAGAATCTTCCCAACTTGGAAGCGATTTTTTTGATGGACATTAAGTCCTACTTCAGTGTGCACTCTGGAATATGTCCACATGGTTGCTCCCCAAGTGGTTGTCCTTGTATGTACCAGGGTTCTTCTGCCCTTCTGCCTGATGCAGGGCATGAATTTGGCCACTTCCCATGATTCACAAAACCCCAGGACACAAGAGGCTTTTTTCTCATGGTTTCATTTTTATACATGCAATTCATCCCACTGAGCTTATTAATTATCTTCTTCCATCAGACTTATTTCCATGGTAATTATTGCCATCTATTCATCTTGGACCTGTTAACAGCAAACCAAATGGGTCTCTGTTGGTTAGTTGAGAGCTGTTTCTAGGTCTCTGTCCAAGTGTTGATAGACTCCAGCAGCTCTTTACATACTTCCAATCCTAGGGAAATAGGTTATGTGCTTATGACTATCTTCTCCCTGCCTCCCTCAGGTAGCAGGGTCCTATGTAAACCATTTCTATTTGATTCAGGTCTCCTTGGGCAGTAGCATGCCAGTAGAAGGTTTCCCTGATGTCTCCTAAGACATTGTGATATTTCAGGTTTCAAGATTTCATGAATTCTATTCATGTGAATAGCTTAAATTAATGTCTGATAGTGGGAAAGAAATGTGAAAATGGTTAGAATCAAAATGGGCTCACTGGGGTCAACTCTCACAAACTGTCAAAAAAGCTGGGAGTCTGAAGGAAGTGCTTTTATTCATACTTACCTGAAAACATGACATAAGTCTCTCCCAGGAGCAACCTTGCAGGAATGCCGTGGCCATCTGAATTCAAAACTTGAATGTATTTGTCTCAGGAACTTTAGTTTCATCTCCAATTATATTCACCATATTTTTATTTTTATTTATTTTTATTTTTTATTTTTTTTATAGCCAGCAACTTTTTTTAATGTTACATATACTATTCTCAAGGCACATCTGATGATATATTTTATAACACAGTAGGTGTCAAAGTATGTTTAACATATGATTTCTTCAGGATCCCTCCCCTTTCTGAATTCCAAATGGAGGAACTGAAAGTGTGATGTAAAGACTGGCGATCCATATTCTATCTTTGGCAAGCTTGTACAAGCACTATTGTAAATGTAATGTAAAAGAACTGTAAACTAGGAACTTCTTCAGTTTATGAAACACCATTCAGGACTGCTGATTCTTGAGTGTTCTCTTCTTTTAAGGTATTAATCTTTTCTTCTCCTGGAGTACGCTGCAGCTTAGTAATTTCATCGCCAGAAGCACTAGTTGGGCCATTTATTGCCTTTTCTGAAGGACCATGCTCTTCAATCACATCTTTTGCCATTTCTTTCTTGTTTTTAGCCAAAGATTCCCTTGGGAGGTTTCTTTGTCTGCTCTGAGACTCAGCTCTAGAAATATAATCTGCAACTGTGACTAGCCCATTTTCATTAACTGAAGCTGTATCAGATTCAGTCATTCCATCCATCAGAACAGCATCTTCATCAGTCCTTCCTCTAGGAGACCGCCTACGACGGTTAGTACTGTGATGAGATTCGCTGGCATCAGTGTCTGCAGTTTGATCTGATTCTGTATTATCAAGTAAGCTGTATGGATTGCTGTCTGGATCTTTGAGCACAGAACTGATGGAGGATTTGCCACCACGTGGTCCACCACGACCTCGACCCCCTGAAACACTTCTGCCTCTTCCTCCTGGGCGTCTCCTGCTGTCACGCTGATGTCTGCTCTCCCGATCATCCTCTCCTGCCAATGACCAATCGCTCAGCTCATCTTTACGCTCGGATTCTGTTTCAGAGGGGTTAGACAGCTCAGAATTTGTACCATAACCGGAGGTGTAATTAGGGCCCCGACGACCTCTGCCTCTTCCACTATAAGACCTAGAACCTTGTACAGAAGAGACGGTACTTTCATCAGTGGCATATCCTTTCTCTTTTTCAGGCCCTCTGGTGGAAGAAGGTCTGAAACCCATACCAATCTGTCGAAGCTGTTCATCAATCTGTAGGCGTTCCATTCTTAGCTGCTCTACTTCCTTGAGATAAGCAATATGATATTCTAAAAGGACTTGTACATTTCCAATGCTTTCTTTAGTGCCAACAAATACAAATGGAACCATACCATCTTCTCTAGGTAGTTTATTTTCATTATCTCCTTCAATTCTCACGCGAACCACACCAGATTTGTCCACTATTTCTTGAATAACTTTGCCATTTTTTCCAATTACCTTTCCAACAAGATTCCTAGGAACCTGAATAAAATCCTCCACAAATTCCAAGAAACCTCTAGCCTTTTTAACAGCATCAGCACTTTCTCCATAGATTCTAAATGTTCCAGTATCTTCATCTAGTTCAATGGCGGTAACTCCAGGAACCTTCCTAGCTTGTTGTATATTACTACCATGTGTACCTATTGCCAGTCCCATTAAATCTTCTCTCACAACAAATTCTTCATGAAATGCTGCTGCAAGTTGTTTCGTGCATTCTAAATGCTTAGTGGCCTCTTCATTTCTGGAAATTAGCATCAACTTTGTACGAATACTTCGCAGATGCATGTCACTTAAAATATTTACTCTCTTCACAGTTGCTTCACTGGCAGACAGTATCATTAGCTGCGTGGTTTCTGGATGGTAAAAAATTCTGCATGCTCCTACTGCTTTTTTAAAATCTTTATGTGCATTTTCATTAGCACACGCCTCTCTCAAATCCTCAGGAACATCAACTGTGCACTTGAAGAACGTATTTTTTTTGACAGTTTTATTCTGATTGACAGGCCGAAGACGTTCAAATGTCACTATTTCATTGTAAGTGGCATCACAAGCAGCATATTCAATGACATAAAATTCTCCTTTCATCATCCGAACTTTAGCCAACCACCATCCACATGGTTCTTGGTCAGTTGCTCTTGAATATACCTCTACTTCATCTCCTTCACTAATTTCTTTTTTTATATCAGGTGGTGGTGGTAATCTAACTTCATTAAATGGAACCTGGCGTTCTGGTTGCCAATTATTTTCAAAAACAACTGTTAGGGAATCTTCATGAACATCTTTGATAAATCCCTGTAATCCCGGCATCTTGGGAAGCTGAGGATCAGGTAGGAAGATCACAAATTCACAGCCAGCCTCAGCAGCTTAGTGAGATCCTTGTAGAAAGCCCCGTTAGAGCCGCGAACGTCCACCGTCAGCTCCGCCATGTTGGAACCGCAAACCTGGCAGGGGAGATACCATGATCACCATATTTTTAAATCTTTGTGGCCAGAGATCATTCTTTCAAAATATTTACTGCAATCCTTTTCAGTTTTCTCTTTTAAAATCTCATTGCAGCAACGTATTTTAATTTGTCCATAGTTTTCTGTGGCACACATAGTCCCACTGTCCTGCTCTGCTCTTATAAAAATGAGTATCATCATTTTTGGGAGAATCATCCTGTGATTTTTCCCCACCTTTAATGAATAGCATCACTGTAATCCATGCCCATCCAGTGAATGTCCTCTCCTGCAAAGTCCTATTAGTTGGTTTTCTCTGGATGGTGCTCATAAGTCTTTGCATAAACCCCACTTTTGTCACACATAAGGCTGTTGCACACTAGGGATTACTCTACATTCTCCAGGCTCAAGCAATGTCACAAATTTCCACTCACCAATTATAATTGATATTGTTTGAAGGATGTGTACTCATGCTGTTATGTTTGCATAGGAGCCCACTCCAAAGCTCCTGTGTTAATGCAGAAAAATTCAGATGTGAATTTTTTAGATGAACACAGCTATTACCTAATCAATTGATTCTAGTTTAATGAACTTGGCTAGGTTTTAACTGTAGGCAGGTGGAGTGTGGCTGGAAGAGGTGGGTCACTAAGGATGTGCCTTGGAAGGGTTGTTCTTTCCTGCAGCAATTTCCCCTCTCTCTTATTCTGCTTTCTATCAGACATGAATTACAAGTGCTCCTCCATCAGGCCCTTCTACCATGATGTTCTGCCTTATCTTAATCCCAGTGGAGTGGACTTGGTCCACCATGGAATAAAATATATGGAACAAGGAGCCAAAAGAACCTTTCACTCCTCTACATTTTTGTTGTCAGGCATTTTGGTCACAGCCATGAAAATCTGCCTAAAATACATTTTCTATTCTATGGTACTTGTAGGAGAAACACTCTCCCAATTAGATACAAAGTATGTTCCTGTAACATAGTCAGGTGAAAGAGGGGCAGGGACTTCACATAAAGCCTGTTGAAAGATCACACCTCTCCTGTATGCTTTCATTGTATTCCATCAACCCTTACTTTGCTATTAGGACCTTACCCATGGGTTTTGGCCTCTCTCTTCTCCATAGGGAAGCATTCCTGTGCGAGATGTAGTCTTCCTTTGCATCAAATTTTAAGCTAATGAGAAACAGTTTATTTACATAAGCCATTTTACGCATTTCCTTTCTCAGAATTCAGTCAACCTTTCAATTTTATGTTCCAGAAATTTCTCCTTCCCTAAGACCTTTATCCCCTCTCCTGTGCAAAAGAAATTGTGTCCCCAGCAGGAGCTCCAGCCAAGGGACCTTGGACTGTGGTCAATCTGTATCTTGATTCCTCTGATTCAGATTAGATTTTTGCTTTGTTTTTGTGCACTACTGTGTTGATTAACTGGTCCTGGGTCATCACATCCACCCTTGAAAGATGTGGTGATAAAATCTTTGTTCAACCCCATCTCTGTTCATGGGTTTCATTTTATTTCTTAGTAACCATTTATAATTTCCCACCTGCTGTGAAGAGTTCTGGGAGTGTTGGCTTACATTTTTTTTCTTTTGACTTTCACCACTACCAACATTTTTAATAAAAGAAGCATATTCTTATATGTCTTAAAATTAGCACAAGGCACAAGATTGGAAGAAAGCATATAAAAAAAGCTATTTGGCTAACAATTGGAGGCTAAACCTACACAGAAAATACTGGTTCACATTCCTCAGTATATGTTGAATCTGGAGATTCAAAACACAAAAGGTCCTGTGGCTTTTTTCTAGTTACCCAAGACTTGGATTTGGTAGGCAGTACCCTAAGGGTAGGGGAGGCATGCTGGGGGGAGAGGGAGGGAGGGAGGAGTAAAAAGGAAAAGGAGGAAACAGTTATTGATAAAATGTTCATCATGTTCTGATTTCAACCTGGATTAGTCAAGAAGCAAAGAGTACTTTGTATAATCCAATTTCCACATGGTGTCTGCTTCACGTTGTCCTGTCATCTAATCTATGGACAATATAGCACCTTCCTTCCCCCAAAGTTTACACAAATGCTCTTACCTCTGGTGGGACAGATATCTTCCAAATGCTACCTTGACCTGATGCTGCTGGCTGTGGGAAACTGCCTGGGATGTGGTTTTTTTCTTTGTCCTGGCTAGAGTTTGTATGGAATGTCTCAAAAATACCTTTATTTCAGACTTCCTTGGCCTCAAGTGTTTTGTTTTAACTTTTTAAAAATCCCTTTATTCCTCAAAAATCTTTGAAAAATTTCTAACCTTCTTAGGATGAGTCGTGTGACTGTCCCTCTGCTTTCCACTATTTCTTTCCTTCTATTAGACCTTGGGATTTTCACTTTTTAAAGTACTTTTTATATATCTGCTTAAATTTTTTCACTTTTTAAAATTTGTTTATTTATTTTAATTAGGTATATATGACAGTAGAATGTATTTTGTTTCACTGTACACAATTGTAGCACACCTTTTCATTTCTCTGGTTGTACACAATGTAGTATTGTACCATGTGTGCAGTCATACATGTACCTAGGGTAATTGGTGTCCATCTCATTCCACCATCTTTCTTGCCCCCATGCAACCTCTCCACCTTCCCTCCCCTTTGCCCAATCAAAGTTCCTCTATTTTCCCCATGCCTCCCCCTCCCCATTATGGATCAGCATCCATTTATCAGAGAGAACATTTCGCCTTAGGTTTTTGGGATGGCTTACTTCACTTAGCATGATATTCTCCAACTCCATCCATTTACCTGTAAATGCCGTAATTTTCTTCTCTTTTAATGTTGATAATATTCTATATAAAATTATGGTGTATATATACCATAGTTTCTGTATCCATTCATCTATTGAAGGGCATTTAGGTTGGTTCCACAGTTTAATTATTGTCGAGGACAGCTGTTTGGTATTGGGCAATCACTGTGCTGTGTTAGTGACAGCCAGGGAGATGGGGGAGTTAGAAACTATGGGTACCTGGCCAGTGGGCATTCCAAACTGAGAGTTACCTGACCAAAGATGGCGATGACGGTGACCGAAGATGGAGGCGGCTGCCTTCAGCCATGTGGTGTTGGGTCTGGTGGGGGGAGCTGGGTGGTGATGGTATTGGGCAGAAATGAGCTCTGTGGCATGCAGTCTTGTGGCTGTCAACTGTCTTCAGAGCCTGTGCGATGTCCCCAGGTGCAGGCAGGCTACTATGCATAAGGGAGTAAGGCAGTGGCTACAGAATCCCAAGATGGAGGCGATGGGGCAAACCCCACTGCCGCAGTCTGGCTGGGCACAAATCACGAGCCACTGAAGCAGGAACAAACTTTATTTTTAAACTGCAGGAAAACACTTCACACAGCTCCCGGGGAATCCTCCCGAACGCGCCAGGAGGCTTGTCCAGGAACCCCCAGCCGGAAATATCTCTCCCGGAAATCCCTCCTCCTGCACTCCCCCAACCAATGGGAACTCTCGGGGAATCCCTGGAAATCCCCACGAGAACTCCAAAATAGTGCGAGAACTCAAAAGTTGCGGCAGAGGCGGATAGTAATGCCTCGCCTGTCAATCAATACTGTTGGCAAAATGCCAGGGGCCATACAGACTCGGCGGTGGCTCTCAGCATCTCCCCCTTTTTGTTTAATTAAACAACAAGCAATGTGGCTTAGGGACCGTGCCTGTTAGGCAGTCCAATTCAACATATGGTCCTTACCCGTCATCGGATGAACTGACCTCTAGGCGTCAGCCTCCTGTCTTAGGTTGGTACCACTGCAATTGGATCATACCCGTCACTGACTACCGGTCCAGCATACAGCCATACTTGTGGATAGGCCTTTGCACCAGTGGGGGGGTGAGGTTCTTTGCCTCACCTCTGTTGGCCCCCAAATTTTAGACCATCACTAGTAGAAGGGAGGAGGATGCAAAATGCCATGACACTAAGCCAATTGAGGGCTCCTTTGAAAAATTGTACCACCGGTGACACCATCAGCAAAAATACTCCAGCACTACCACAATTCGCTGTACCAACAGATAGTTCACAATGCATACAAGTGATACATAGTCCAGGCAAGTTCTGCAAGCAATTCAAAGCAGAGGAATCTGTCAATATGTCCATTTCCTCCCAAAGTAAATCAACTCCTTAATTGAGCATTACTTGTTGAGTTATTATTCATTGATGCATCAGTTTTTACAGTTTGTTGTGATAACTATCGAAGAAGCTGTAGTTTGGTTTTATCTTTGTCTTCACCGGCACTGGGATGAAGATAGGAATTCTGGCAATGATGCTAAGAAAAAAATTATGTAACATTCCAACAGGCACTAAGAAAACAATTTTTTGAACAATTTACATTATCCTGAACAGAATTATTAAATATAATGAGAAGGAAAGGTGAAAGTAAACAAACAGATCTGTTAACCTCCTTATTTGTTCACATATTAAAACAATTTTCAACAGCTGTTTACCCAATCTAAATTAAACCATTAAAATCACGTGAATAAAAAAATTCGGATCCATTTATTCATGAGCGCTCCTCATATATGATATATGGACATACGCACATACAGACATACAACACAAAACAGAAGTGTGCACACATAACATACAACACATAAGACAATAGTAAAGGCCTTGTAGCTTTACCTAGGTGAAATCTCCATTGCAATGCTTAAAAACTCCACAGTCAAAAAATAAAACTGATCAGAAAAACATTAACCTAGGTCTGTATGAGCTCAAAAATAAAATAGAACTTTATGATGTGGGAAAAGGCAAATAATAAAATAAATATTGAAAAAAGCATCCTGGTTAATCACTGTCGCAGATGTAAGAATAGCCAAACTGGAGTTCTGGATATCAGCTGTTATGGATTTGAGTCAAATCATCTTCCTTTTGGCCTGTAGAAATTGTTTTAGTTAATCTCTCTGGAATCCAAATCGGCTGCTGTTCTCCCTGTGGAAAAACACAAACAGAACCCCGACTCCAGACAATCACTGG